CCCCTTTTGTGACCCTCTGACAAGCAAAATTGATACAGATGCCAGATTCACTTAACAGCCGAGTGACTAACTTATCACTTGCAATAATTCACTTAACAACTTAGGGAAGAAAGGTCGTAAAATGGGGCAAAACTCACTTAAAGAAGCGTCTCACTTAACCACAGAAATTTTGAGCTCCGTTGTGGCCGTAAGTCGAGGACTACCTATAGTAAAGATGCTTTCGACATCTGTACCAGCCAACACAGCCCTTCCTAACATGCGCTACTCAAAACAACCAAAGTGGTATTTGGGACAAAGGCAGGGGTGAAATCCAGCAGGTTCTGACAGGTTCTGGAGAACCGGCAGTGGAAATTTTGAATAGTTTGGAGAACCGGCAAATGCCACCTCTGGCTGGCCCCAGAGTGGGGTGGGAATGGAGATTTTGCAATATCCTTCCCCCAGGAGTGGGGAGGGAATGGGGATTTTGCAGTATCCTTCCCCTGCAACACCACCAAGCCACGCCCACCAAGCCACACCACACCCACCAAGCCACGCCCACAGAACTGGTAGTAAAAAAATTTGGATTTCATCCCTGGACAAACGCCTCTCTAGAATTCCTAAGTCTGAAACTGCGGAACGGAGGGGAACAAGGCAACTTGGGAAAGGGCTTTGTGGACAAGGCAAAAATGTTCCTCCAGTGCAAATTCAGCGTAACAATTAATAGCCCCTTGCGCATCATGCTAATCCACCGGCTTCCTTAACCATCATTTCTACACTATGCCACAAGGGTTTCGCCCATCATGCTAAGCCGTAAACCGCAGTGCAACCAACGGCTGGATTTGCACAACAACAAGAACTAAGCAGGTGTTGTTGTTTTTTAAATTGCCTTTTTAAAGTGCTTTACATGCGACTGCAAAGAGGTTTTGTTGCATACACCGGAATACAGCCCCATCCACATTTGGTGAGAAGGCTGCTTTTGAAAGGAAAAAAGTATATTTCCCCCACCACCAGTTAAGTTTGGTTCCTAGAGGCTCTGTAGACGCATCCATATAATGCTCTTGGCAACAACCCAGAGATGGTTTCCCCATGCCTTTTTTTCCTGGAAGCTTTCTAGATTTCCCAGCTTAGCCTACAGTCCTGGGATTTCCTGGTGGTGAGCCATCCAAGTACCTAACAAGATGCGCTCTCTCTAATTTCTTTAAGTGCAAGAACGGACTTGAAAAATCTATGTTTGGAAGGCCGGCGGAAAGACTCAGGGGCACCCAAAAACTCCTTCACACTTCTTCAGAGGTGGGGGGCTGGGGGTTAAACTGACCACCAAGCTCTGTATTAACTTCATGCTCCAACGGATAGTAAGACTGCAGAAAGAATCATTGCAACCAGCTTTGCCTTCCATAGAAGATCTGCACATGCTGTATTGCACAAGTCAGAAGGAGGGCTGAGAAGAGATCTGCAGACCCCTCACATCTTGGACATAAACTGTTTCAACTCCATCCCTCGGGATGATGCTATAGGGCAGCGACCCCCCAACCTTTGGGGCACCAGGGACCGGTTCCACGGAGAAAGGTTTTTCCGCAGACTGGAGGGGACGTGGTTTTGTATGCTGCCCACGGATGGGACTTCACTTGTTTGTGTGGCCCGGTTGATGGCATGGCATGGACCGGGGGGTGGGGGTTAGAGACCCCTGCTATAGGGCATTGCATGCCAAGACAACTAGACACAGGGACAGTTTTTTTCCCCTCGTGTCATCACTCTGCTGAATACCTAATTTTCGCAGTACAATCTAATGTCTACGTACTGTATATTTACTCATGTAATATGGCTGTGTAGTAGTATTATTTATCCTTCTTATTATCTTTACTTCCCCCTTTTTCTTGGTATTATTATTATTATTATTCTCTCCGTCGCTTTGCATGTACACTGTTTCTATACCAGAGACAAATTCTTTGTATGTCTAAAACACTTGGCCAAATTAGATAAATATTTATCATAGTCGCTTTTTTCCCTTTTCCGTGTCCAGCAGGGAAGACTGGATAATGAGGTGCAATTTTTAAGGCAACCTGAGATTCCTGCCTTCTTTCTTATTCCTCCCTATTCAAAGCTCTGGTGTTTTAGTCAAAATAACCCTGATACAACCCGTCTCGGTGCTGTTACTTTGTGATCTGGCTCAGCTTCATAAAACGAATGATCTGTGGGAATCTGACCATGTTTTCCATAGGAGCCTCTACCTGCCTTTGCAGCTTGTTGAAAGTTTCAAAGCAACTAAGGAACCTGTGAAATGATATTCAAGAAACCGCCAGACATAGACTTTGCAATAATGCAGAAAACATTTCAAACGTTTAGAGGAGGGTTCTTTTAACCTTTTCAACGGGGGAAAAACAGCCAGTACAACTTGCTTTTTAAAAGCTCTATTCACTCCCTTTAGAAAGTGCCTCGTTTCAAGAAATCATAATTTTGCTGAGTAGCACATTGGCTTTAAGACACAGAACAATAATAATGACAGCTTAAAACATAATGCAAAATGAATTTGTAAAGCAAAATTGCTCTAATGGGACTTTTTAAAAAGAAAAAGAAAAGAAAAGGGGGTGCTTGAAACATTCTTCAAGCTAAAAACATGAGATATGGAAGGAAAACCAGAGAGAGTGATTTGTTTTCAACCTTTCGGAGTTAAAATTAAATTTAAAAAATCTCTTTGCTAATTTAAATTAAGAGGAATTTGTTCAGCTTTAATTTAATTTTTCTTGGAGCCACCATGAAACAAATATTATTTATTTCTGAAAATTAGTTTGAATTACTCAAATCAAATTACTTTCAATTTTCCTTTTACAAAATGCATCCGCAAATGAGCAACAATGAGCAAACAAACTTTCCCAAATATTTAGCAATAAAGGGATGCGCTACAAACAGAATTTCCGAGACTCAATCTGAATAGCCCTGTAAACGCCATAAATTATTTCCTAATGCTACCGTCCACCTATACAGCTGGCAAGTAGCATTCCACACGCATCCTTCCAGCTCATGAGACAAAGCACGAGTTCTATCTGCTAGCACTTGTAACATACATTTTCACAGGAACGACATTTTCCCAGGAGGACACCCGAACTTGTGCCGAAGCTTGTTCCCATTCCCTCTGCCTTCACTATCATTATTAATCCAGTTAACTCTGCACCCAAGTCCCTTCTACACAGGCAAGGCAAATTAAAATTTCATTCAAAGTACAACAGGTTGGTGGATGTACAAGCCAGAGCCGTGACTCCTAAAAGAGTCCTGAGGATGTGTGAATGACACAATGTTTTTTTAATTCGGTCTCAGCACAGCAGCCTGTTAGAGGAACCTGAGTAGCAAGTAGAGTAGGTAGAAGTTACCAGTAGCAAACAAGAAAATAAAGCTACTCAATTAATTCCCCTGAGTTAACAGGAGCACAGTTACAGGCAAGAAAATCAGGCATATTTTTTGTGGACTGTTCAGGAAGCGGACTTTCCAGGGACTCAAAGATGCTGACCCATGCTGACTTGGGAGATTTTTGCTCAACTAAGTCATTTTTTTAAGGTAATTTTGCATGCTAAGGTATGGAAGAAAAAGCTTTGCCTCCTTCAAGGTGGGTTCGATCCAAGGTGCTGGGGACAAAGCCTTACATGGCACAGGGCCCAGTTTATTTGAGGGATGGTCTCTCGCCCCGACATCTATCGGTGTCCCCCTCCCCATCAGATCCTGGATGAGGACCATGCGGTGGGTCCCATCTAGGAAGGAAGGAGTAAGTGGGATTCCAGCTCCCTTCTCAACAATCTCCAGAGCAAACTTTAAGAGCCAAGGAGCTGGGGTTTAGGGGCACGGAAGAAGCGGGGTCTCCCCAGTCATTAAGCAGGAGGGCTTGCGGTGAGTTAAGAGCCAACAAGTTCAAGCCTTTAACCTTCCTGTATTTGGCTTCACCTCGGCATCCCCAGACACAACCATTCAAAGCCAAGCTCGAAATTTTCCCCGGGAATCTGGAGAAAGCTCTGCGGATACTTTAAACCGGCACAGAATTTGCAATGCGCTTTGGAGAGCCGCGAGCAAGCAGGCTGTCATTTGCAAAGACCCCCGTCTCCCACCCACCCACCCACCCCGTTCCCACCGGGCTCTGCCACCCAACTCCCGGCCCCTCCCTGCTAGAGGCCAGCACGCCCGCATTGTCCCCCGCTCTCCCACCCACCCAAATTAAAAAGAAAACCCATTTATCACGCGTGGGGCCGCCTGGATGATATGGGAGCCCCGAAGCCGCAGGGAATTGGCAGGTGGGTTTTTGGGGCGGTAGACACACCAGAAGTTCACCTTTAACAAGCAGCGGGAAGCGGGGGTCCCGCACAGCCTCCCCGCACACGGTCAGAGGCACTTCGGAGGAAGAGGGAAACCTCCCCAGATGTATTTGGGGAGTGGGGGGGACAGTGCTGAAAAGGGGCGCGAGTTGAACGGCAGCAACTGGGAAGGTTTTCCTTCTTTCGAGGGATGGAAAAAGAGGGGGGGGCTCTTTTTCCCAATGCAGCTTTCTTTGGGGGGGAGGGAAGAGGCTGGAAGGAAGGTCAACCCAGCAGAGGAATTAGTCAGGATTTGGGGGGGTGGGGGAGGCAGTTCAGCCCGGAGCGGGGAATCCCGGCTGGTGGAGACCCCCCACCACCCCCGTCGAGACTCATAAGGGGGATCCTCTCCTGCTTGTTGCGGGCACAGGGTGATGATGGCGAGGCTGGCATCCCCTTCTGGGCTTCCCGCGAGCCGCCATTCAGCCAACTTGCGGGTGGGGAACGGCACCCTCCGGCAAGGACAGCGCAGGACAAGCGCGGAAGAGAGAGCCTCACCAGGGACTAGGAACTTGACAGCCGAAAAACAAATGAGCCCAGCGGGGAAGGGAAGGGAAGGGCTACCCTTTTCTCTCTCTCTCCTCCTTTCTTCCGCCTCGCCTTCCCCAAAGACCCTCAGGTCTGCGCCTTCCGCCCGCGCGCTCAAGGAAGCGGAACTCTGCACGCGCTCAGAGACTTGGCGCTTACCTGGCTGGGAGCCGGCGAGCGAAGGCAGCGGAGGAGATGCGCGGGGCCGCAGCAGCAGGAACAGCCGCCGCCGCAGCCGCTGGCGAGGCCGGGAGAGGCCGGGGGCGGCTGGGGCTCGGTGGTCCTTCCCGGCGCCTGGTCGGCTCGGTGGGAAAGTTGCAGCAGCCGCACGAGCGCCTTAAACCCGCCTCCCAGCAGGACGGGGCGGCCCGGCGGGGCGGGGACTCGGAGCCGGCCCGGCCCAGCCCACCACCGCCCCCGCCCCCGCCGCCGGGGGAAGGCAAGCGCCTCTGAGCGTCTGCAGAGCGCCGCCCGCCAGCCGGGGGAGGAGCGCTTGCAGGCGGCGGTCGCACCTCGGCCGTGCCGGAGACTGCAGGTAATAAATGATTAAGTCCTGCGACAAGGACGGGCGATCGCCGCCGCTCTGCGGAGCAGAACTTTTGGCCAGGAGGCGCCGCAGCCGCAGCTCCCGCGACCCCCTTCCCACGCGTGGCAGAGCCCGCCACCCCCACGCCGCGGCTCCCTCCTGCTACCCCAAGAAGGCTGCCCCCCCCCCTCTTTTTTTTTTTTTTTCGCTTTAATTTATATGCCGCCCTTCTCCGGAGACTCAGGGCGGCTTACAATGTGCTCAGCAATAGCCTTCATCCTTTTGTATATTTATACAAAGTCAGCTTATTGCCCCCACAATCCGGGTCCTCATTTTACCTACCTTAGAAAGGATGGAAGGCTGAGTCAACCTTGAGCCTGGCGAGATTCGAACCTGCAGTAATTGCAGGCAGCTGGTCTTAATCGCAATGCTTTTTTAGTCTGCTGAGCCACCAGGCTCTTAGCGGCCGTCCGGATTTTCTCGACCCCCGTGGGAGGGAGAGGACGTGGGTCGGGGGGCTTGGGAGAGGCAGGCAACAGGGCTTCCCACCCCCACCCCCAAGGAAATGTGCTCGGGCCAAGGCTGGCTCCCTGTGGCAGGGGAGAATGGAGCGTCTGAGAAAGAAATGCCCCCATAGTCGGGCTTCTAGCGACAGAAGCAGTCTACCTGGCGCTTGGAGCAAAGCTGCAGATAGAGCCACGCGGTCCTGTTTGCCACCCGCTTCTCTAAGCTAGGGACCCCGCTGCCCCCTTCTCTGTCGACTCCCTCTTTCTCTCCCCCCCCCCCCAGGTTGTTTTTATTAAATGTCTGAGTTTTTTGTTCACACTTTTCCACACTCGGCAGTGCACTGCTGGTGGCTCAGCAGATTAAAGCACTGTTATTAACATCCACTTACATCTGCTACCTGCAATTACTGCAAGTTCAAATCTCACCAGGCTCAAGGTCGACTCAGCCTTCCATCCTTTCTAAGGTAGGTAAAATGAGGACCCAGTTTGTGGGGGCAATAAGCTGACTTTGTATGAAATATACAAAAGTATGAAGGCTATTGCTTAACGCATTGTAAGCCGCCCTGAATCTCCGGAGAAGGGCGGCATATGAATCAAATTAAAAATAAAAATAAAATAAAAAATGCCCACCCGCTGCAGGGATGGGGCCCATCCTTGACCCACACATGGCTGAAGTCAAGGCCGGCTGCCTCTGCTTGCCTGCACCCCAAAAAACTCAGCGCCTCCCTCCCCCCCTTCCTTTTTTATTGATCCCCAAATTCTGCCTGTCCGGTGGACACAAGGCTGGAGTGAGAAACCAGCAGGCAAGGCACGATCATCCGATCCGTGCAAGATTCGCCTTATAGATCTGGCTCTCTGGATGATGAATTAGGCACCCAGGAAGCCGGCGGAGCAAGAGGGGGCTGGCTGCCTGATTTCTGCCACTGGTGGCGTGATCAATTCGGCTCCTTGTCCACGCCAGGAGAATCGATCACAAATGTGGCCACGGTTTGCCAGTTGCCTCTGCCGTTGTGGTTCCTCCTCTGCCTTGTCCCGAGGTTTAAAGCAAGTTTTGGTGTGTTGGGTTTGGTGGAAGACTTTTAATTTATCTTCCTCTTGGAAAACAAAAACGCCAAACTTCTTAACTCATAACATCAATAATAAATAAGTGACTGCTGATTAAATTAGAGCAAGGATGGAAAGCCATTGAATATTGATTGAAATTTAGCAATGGCTTATTGAATAAACAAGAGGCAGCCTAATTGCTTTTCTTTATTATTTGCATTAGAATATTAAAAACAAATGTAGATCTATGAGAAGAAAACTTGTGGTGAGGGCTTTTGCTCTCCCCCTGCGTCTTCTTCTTCTTCTTTTTTTTTTTTAAAGTTACAGCCGGTTCCAAAAGTGGAAGAAAGAGAATAAAGCGGAGAAGCTGTTCTTTACTTAGTGCATTGAGAACATTTGTAGCATATTTATTTAACAATAGGTAATAATGATCTCAAACTAAGAAAAATTGATTCCTGACAATGAGAGCACTGTGGGGGGGGAAAGGGTTATTTATTTAAAAAATATTTGTTTGCCCTTGATCTAATAATCATGCAGTGGTATATACAAATGGTAATTTAGGTATACAAAGGAATAAAATTACTACAATGAGAAAAGGAAGCGGGTATAAAAAGAGGGTGGCCCACGCCAAGCTGTTTAAGAGAAGGTTCGAAAACTCCAGAAAAAGATTATCTTAAAAATGCAGCAAAGGTCTGGCCTCTTCTTGACAAGTAGCCCCTCTCTTCTCCTCCTTCTCCTTCCCCTTCTGTCCTCCTGGGAAATCACGCTCAGTGCTTTAACTAAGAGGAGAAGTGACTCTCGTGGGCAATGAGGGAGGCTTTGCACGTGGCAAAAGCTCAGCCCTTTCTCTGAACAGGTTTCTCTGAACATCAAATGCTCTCCAAGCCTGGGGAAAAGATCGGAAAACAATAAAATAGAGCTCGAAGGGACCTTGGAGGTCTTCTGGTCCAGCCCCCTGCTCAAACAGGAGAACCTATACTATTTCAGAGAAGTGACTGTCTAGTCTTTTCTTAAAAACCTTCAGTGACGGAGCGCCCATGATTTCTGAAGGCAAGCTGTTCGACTGGTTAATTGTCCTCCTCGTTAATTCTAGGTTGCTTCTCTCTTTGGTTAGTTTCTAACCATTGTTTCTTGAGGAGAGGAGAGGAGAGGAGAGAGAATATATACAGAAGAAAAAAGAAAATAAGGAGAGGGGAGAGGAGAGGAGGAGAGGAGAGGAGAGGAAAAGAGAAGAGAAGAGAGAAAATACATAGAAGAAAAAATAAAATAAGGAGAGGGGAGAGGAGAGGAGAGGAGAAGACAGGAGAAGAGAAGAGAGAAAATACACAGAAGAAAAAATAAAATGAGAAGAGAAGAGAAAAGAAGAAGAGAAGAGAGAAAATACACAGAAGAAAAAAGAAAATAAGGAGAGGGGAGAGGAGAGGAGAGGAGAGGAGAGGAGAGGAGAAGAGAAGAGAGAAAATACACAGAAGAAAAAATAAAATGAGAGAAGAGAGAAGAGAAAAGAGAAGAGAAGAGAAAATACACAGAAGAAAAAAGAAAATGAGAGAAGAGAAGAGAGAAGAGAGAAAATACACAGAAGAAAAAATAAAATAAGGAGAGAAGAGAGAAGAGAAGAGAAGAGAGAAGAGAAGAGAGAAAATACACAGAAGAAAAAAGAAAATGAGAGAGGAGAGGAGAGGAAAGAGAGGAGAGAAAATACAGAAGAAAAAATAAAATAAGGAGAGAAGAGAAAAGAGAAGAGAGAAAATACACAGAAGAAAAAAGAAAATAAGGAGGGAGAGGAGAGGAGAGGAGAAGAGAGGAGAAGAGAAGAGAGAAAATACACAGAAGAAAAAATAAAATGAGAGAAGAGAGAAGAGAAAAGAGAAGAGAAGAGAAAATACACAGAAGAAAAAAGAAAATAAGGAGAGAAGAGAGAGAGAGAAGAGAGAAAATACACAGAAGAAAAAATAAAAAAGAGAGAAGAGAGAAGAGAAGAGAAAAGAGAGAGAAGAGAGAAAATACACAGAAGAAAAAGAAAATAAGGAGAGAGGAGAGGAGAGAAGAGAGGAGAGAAAATATACAGAAGAAAAAATAAAATAAGGAGAGAAGAGAAAAGAGGAGAGGAGAGGAGAGAAAATACACAGAAGAAAAAAGAAAATAAGGGGAGAGGAGAGGAGAATCTTTGAAACTCAGGGTTGAATTGTGAGGTCCTTGGTGCTCTGGGAGTTTGATTGTTCTCTTGCAGACATTTCATTACCAGATGAGGTAACATCACCAGTGCTACCGTGTTTCCCCGAAAATAAGACCGGGTCTTATATTAATTTTTGCTCCAAAAGATGCATTAAGGCAGTGATGGCTAACCTTTTTGCTGTCACGTCCAAAAATGGGGGGAGCGCGGGGGGGTTCATGCGTGCGTGCACCCACACCCATAATTCAATGCCCCCCGTGCATGCACACGCGACCCACCCCTTCCCTCCGCTTTTGGCACCCAACAGCAAAAAGGTTCCCGGTAGGCCCGTTTTTCGCCCTCCTCAGGCTCCAGAGGCTTTCTTGGAGCTTGGGGACAGCGAAAACAGCCTTCCCCATTTCCCCAGAGGCCCTCCAGAGGCCGGAAACAGCCTGTTTCCCAACTTCCGGTAGGACCGCAAGGCTTGAAAATCAGCTGGCCAGCACATGAATGTGCGCTGGAGCTGAGCCAGGGCAAGGCTCGCGTGCCCACAGATATGGCTCCATGCGCCACCTGTGGCATGCGTGCCATAGGTTCGCCATCATGGCATTAGGGCTTATTTTCTGGTTAGGTCTTATTTTGGGGGGAATACGGTACTAAATGCACCCATCTGGCTGACAATCTTAACGGGGGCTTATTTTGGGAGGGCTTAGGGCTTATATTACGAGCATCCTGAAAAGTCATGCTAGGACTTCTTTTCCGGTTGGGTCTTATTTTTGGGGAAACGGGGCAGAAGGGAGTGAGGTTTGCAGAGAGGAGGAGGAGAGGAGGAGGAAGAGAAGTTTGGTGTCCTTGATGCTCTCTGAGCTCGGTTCTTTTCTTGCGGACATTTCATGACCCAAATAGCATCATCAGTGCTCCATCAGGGTGTCATCAGGGCACCGTCCAGTTAACCTCTGCAAGCCAACAAATAACCTTAAAGAGCACCAAAGACTCCACAGATGTGAGACCTTTATGCTGGATTCACCCTTTGGATTAAACCACAGTAGGTTCAAAGGACAGCCCCTCTACATGCAAGGTTAAAAGAATCCTGATCTCATTAATTATATCTTCCTCTCCTTTCCCGCTATGAAAAGGAGAAAGATAGTAGAAAGCAACTTTGATCTTCCTTCTTTTTAAAAAAAAAAAAATCCCTCCAACAAGAATAATTCTGAGTTGCATCGCAATGACACCTCATCCCCAATTCCTCAAGGCTTTTCCTGGGGAGACATAGAACAGCATGGGAGATATTCCATTATCACGAGCTG